TCCCCGGCTGGTCAGAGGCGTGGGTGGGTTGGAAGGTGAGAAGGACGAGACCTGGCCGCAGCCCCTCTGGGTGCTTTGTCACGGGGTACAGAGCGACAAGGGGCGCGCAGAGCTGGAGTGGGGCTGTGCCGTGTCAGCCCCCATCCAGGCGGACCGGGAACAGTGGGATGAGACTGATCAGTGCGGTTGTGAGCAACCCAGGATAGGGAATGTAACTCGGTAGGAGCACAGGGAGCGACGGGGCAGTGTCCAGCACTGACACCCAGCACCATGGAAGGAAGGGAGCCCCTTGTCTTTATACAAATCAGTATAAAATCCTAACGCATACTAGTGATACAACATAAAACGTGGAGCAAGGCTGTGGCAGGGTCCTGGCAGTCACCGCTGCAGCCCTGGTGAAGTGACCCTTGCAGCAGCCGTGTGCCTGCATTTCTCCACAGGTACAGTCAGTGTCCTTCAAAGCCTTGATAAGGCTAAGCTAAGTGTCTCAGTGGAGGCCTTCATCCTCCCAGGCCAACATCTGGAGCCACAAAGGGCTGCTGTTGTGAGCTATGTAAACATAGGAAATGCCATTAGATCAGTTCTACATGATGGGGTCCAGGTTAGTTAGGAGAGAGTGATCCTGTACCAGGCTGGCTTGATGGCTTTTTGCATGCTATTGCTGGAAAAGTGTGGCGATGTTAAGGGTTAAATGGCTGCTCTTGCCTGCAAAGAACATGGCAGATGCTTTTACGTTCATAGCAACTGAAGCTGGTGCTGCTGGAACTGGAAAGGAGCAAACTTTGTCACTTGCTGTGACAGACGCATGTTGTGTCAGATGCTGAGCCTGGATGCAAGCCAGGAATGGCAGAGGGAACCCTCTGTGTGGCTGCTCGAGGTGAGAGTGATGAAAGGGCAGTGTGGAGGACACAGACACCTCCCTTATCTGAAAGAGTTGGAGGACGGTGTACAGCTGAAGAAGTCCTGGCTGATCTGGCGTGGGTAGCCCTCCAGCACTTTCACCTGGACTGGATCGAACTTCCAGTAATCTCGGCCTCTCAGGAAATAGGCAAAACCTATGGGTGAGAGAGGAAGGGTTAGGAGAGACAGGGCTGGCACAGCTCAGAGCTCTTTCCTAGCATTTTGTCTTGTTGACGCTCTGCAGCGTGTGCAGGACCAAAAGAGAGCCTGGAAGAGGCAGGAGATGTTGCTGGATCCATTTCACTTGAACCCAGGTTTGCAGTTTACACTGGTTTAGTTTTGATGGGAGACCAAACAAGATGGATTTTATTTTCTATTCTTTGTGTGTTTAAATATGCTGTACCCATGTAGTAACTTGGCTCTGAGAGGGAAGAGGACGTCTAGGACCTGAACAGGGCCTCTGGCAGGGAGCTTGTGAAGACCTGCTGCAGAGCATCTGTTACTGCAAGAAAGCTGTCTTGAGAATTTAGGCTCTGGAAGCAGTGGGAAGCCATTCCACCACATCCTCTGAGATGAGGAGGAGAGAGGTGGTGATCACATCTGTCATCCCAAACACCCTGGCTGTCCCCAGTGTTTCTGTCTTCAGCATGGGCTACATCTGGGAGGACTAGGCAATATGGAAAGCAGCCTGTTCATTCAGGACAGCTGCCTAGGCTGAGGCATGGGCAGCATTTCTGCTATCTTCTCATCACTTTCTTTGTTGGGAGTGGTAACAGCTGGGTAGGACTCTGATCACTTCTTGGTCAGAAATTTGAATTTTCTCTATCAGATGCTTATCTGTTGGTCATTGCAATCAATAATGATAAAACCTCTCACTTTTATGGGAGAAGCCTCAGTTACCTACCCACTTGAGGGAGCCACCCCTCTCTCTCCACACTACATGGCATCTGCTACGGCTGGGAAGCGGGCACTACTACCAAACACCTCAATCTGCCCAGTTCTTCCAGCTGGGCAGTGGTGTCAGCCTGAGCACCACCCTAGGGCAGACCATGTCCCTGCTGGCACTGACCAAACTCATCCTGAAAAGCTGCGTCAATCTCCTGGGGGACGCCGCGCCAGTCAGCCATGGTCCGAGGGTAGATGTTGTCCACCTGGCGGGTGTGAGGGTTGAAGCGCCAGTAGTTGCCTCCACTGAAGATGTAGATCTTGTTCTTCTCGGCCCCCCACACCAGAGCTGCCTCCACAGGGGATGCAGAAAGGCCCAGCTCCACAATTGGGGTGGGACCAGATACCCGTCTTTCGCCATCGTAAATCCAGTACTGAGAATCTGGCGAGGAGACAGAAAAGTGAGACAAGGGTTCAGAAGCTCTTTGGTGTCTGATAATTTGGCACTCAACTGCGCAACTGGAGCTGGTGCCTTGGCAGAGCTCCCAGGGAAAGCTGTGCCTGGGAGGCAAAAGCCCCACCAGTGTTATGGGCACTGCCACTGACGGCTGCCCAAAGCGCCAGCAGCGCGAGGACCTGACTTCCCACCTCAGTCCAACCCGGGGAGTGTCAGTGGTGGGACAAGGAGGACCATTTTAGCAGCTGTCTTTTCTCTATTTGTGAAAGTTATAATAAAAGACTTGGCTGGAGGGACCAGCCTCTGCCCTGCCCACATATGTGGGCATGCACAGGCATAAAGGGGGCATGCAGCTGTAAAGGAGCGAGCTACAGAAACCAGGAAGAAGTTGCCAAGCTGAAATAGAGACTGGAAGCATATTGCCAGATTAGATTAAAATGGGAATCTCTGTAATTAGCCAACGGCACGTAATACTTTCCCCTTATCTCATTTTAACTCGTGGTAAGGAGCCTGCCAATTTTAGCACTGTAAGTCCTTGTGTGCAGGTCAGGTGCTAAGTAATCTGTTTACTCAGGAACGCAGCCTGCAGAGCCGCGGCGTGCACTTTCTGGTGCTCAGTCTCACAGTGCACAGATGGGGCACTGGGTACCCAGGGTATCTGGGTACCTACATCATTCTGCATCCTCACCATTAAATTTATACTTGGAAAGAGCATTAAAGAAAACAGTGGAGCTGAAATGGGGGTTGTTGCTGGTCTTCAGCTCCACAGATGGCCAGGAACAGGTTTGCCTCCACCACGAGTGATTGGTTTTTAATGCCTGTGGTGGCAGAGGTTGTCTGGCTCTGCACACAGACTGACTCCCTGTAGGCTCATTCAGCTGAGTGTCACTACAGAAGCTCTGCATCCAGTCTGCTGAGGAGCAAAGATGCTGTCCATCACCTGAGCAGGGCCTCAGGGGCACAGGCCCAGGAGTTTCCCAACCTGTGAGAGTGTCTGGGGCTCTCTTCTGGCATAGGGCTTCCCAGCACAGCTGGGGAGATGCAGCAGGTGTTTCCTTCCTCCTCCTCACCATCGCCAGGCAGAGGCTCAAAACAAACATTGTGTTCCAGAGGAGGAGAATGGGATATCGTGGCTGTGTCTAAAATAAAAGTGACCCCTCTTTCTCTCTTCCCCCCTCAATATCTGTTAAAAACTAAACCGAGAAGGAAGCAAATAACAGGGATCACTGCATTGCTGAGAATGCCCAGGTTTTTCCTCCCAGGAACCTGTTGGGTCCCGAATACCCCTCAGTAAAGAACATGCATTTCTGAGCCGTTTGATCCCAGTCCAGCTCTTACCTTGGAAAAACCAGATATTGCCCAGAGGGTCCTCGAAGGTGGCATCAACAGAGCTGGGGATCCCCTGCCAGTGGCGGGGGGGC